TACAGGTTTTTATAAGCTCACTCTTTTGTTGAGTACAGTACCTGTTTATGGGTGATTAGGGGCCTTATACTCTTCTCTCGTACATCACTAAAAGGCAAAAATACTGGTAGGTTGAGGAATAGAGGTGAAGATAGCATTATATTCTTATTACCTAGTTAAAATAGTATACAAAGTTCCTTTTAACTTGTAGTAACTACCCCACAGTAGCCCTGGTGTTTAACTTGAAAATACCTGTTCATTACCTAGATAACTATTGAACTTTGATTATTTTCTCATCCTTTCACATCTGATATACTCAATGTGTGCATCTCATGAATGTTTGTTTTCTTCTCTACTATGCACAGGTTCTGCAGGGTCTGGATTACTTACACACCAAGTGTCGAATCATCCATACAGATATTAAACCTGAGAACATTCTCCTGTGCGTTAATGAGCAATACATCCGCAGGCTGGCCGCAGAAGCAACAGAATGGCAGAGATCTGGGGCACCCCCTCCGTCTGGCTCTGCAGGTGCCTTTACTACGGAAAACTGGCAGAGTCCAAAAAGATTGTAACTGATTTGACAAGGAAAAATTCTCTAGTTCTTGTCTTGGCATTGCCAAGTAAAGGAATAACATTTCAAACCATTTCTATAAAGCCAGTCATAAACTGCAGTACTAGTTGTGTGTCCCCACAAGAAACTAGTCAGTCTAAAAACAGCGTACATAGTCATTGACATTTGCTTTTAGTATTACTCTGACATAGACTAGGTGGTAAAATAATCATTTGTAAAGCATTCTGAAAGACTCCTACAGAAAGCACTATATAAATGTCAAATTGGTATTTTCTTAAGCACTGTTTTGAGTGCGTGTGAATGTGTTCTATAAAAACTTACCTCCTTGTAACCTCCAGAAAGCGGAAAATTCCTTTCCTTGTGCAATTCTGTGGACGTATTTTGGCAAACTTTTGATGAAATGACATCAGTACTACACATTTGGCTTCTTGCAGGGCCAGCCTGAAAGGGGATTAAACCAACACAAGCTGTTTCCCTTGTGTGAACGCAATATCTGATTTCTATGGCAAAGGCCAGGCTTCATTATTTGAAGTCTACACCTATACTCTCAACACTCTTCCTTAACATCTCCATATGTGCCAGTGCACAGTCCCCAGGACCTGTTGGTCACTGCCAGTCTATACAATATGTAAAGTGCAGGTTTTGGCTGAGGCCAGTTCTGCACAGCTTGGGCCAGCTAAGCTAATAGGCTCCCTCAGAGTTTGTGTGTTCTGGTGCCAGGATCCCAGTTGACAGCTTGGCTTAAGCAAAATGTACAACACATGAAGCAAGTATCCTACCATGCTGTTACACAATTTAAGTCCCTGTTTCCTGGTCACCAGTGAAGTGAGTCTGGCTAATTAGAGCTTGACTCGTCTAATAGAATATGCTGCAGATCATTTCTTTCTGGCAGATGCTTCTGTCCCTCTTTTGAGGTTTGAAGCTTTCATAATTGGAGGATGCACTTGAGTTCTTTGGGATAAGGAAGCAATCCCTTTTTTTTTTCTTTCAGTGCAGCTTACATTTCAAGAGTACAGGGAAACACAGTGGGGCTCTGAAAAATGTTCCTGATTTACAGTAGTTAAATCTACTTTTTGCTTGTTATATTTTTTTCCTGTAATGTGATTGCAATCTATAATACAAGTACACTAACTTATTTCTCTCTTTCTTCCAGTGAGTACTGCACCACAGCCCAAACCAGTAAGTGTAGTAACTTTTTTGTCTGCCTGTAAGTGTAAATGTGTGCTGTCTACATACATTCAGGTGTACAGCTTGTTTAGAATTGTTCTGTGGTTTTGTTCTATAATGCGGTAAGTGGAAGCCTACTTTGAAAACCTAGCAAAAGGAGCTTGAAGTGTTCAGTGCGTGGCTTTTTGGCCAACACTTAGGTGAGCATGTTATAAGTACAGCTATAGGTACAGCTAGTCCTGTTATAGGTACAGCTAGTCACCGAATGATGTCCAGTAACAGTAGTTGTGCAAGATCAGCTTCCCAAGATCACTAGCATTTTCCAGAGCTCAGCTGTGTGCCATTGCAGTGGCCCAAAATGCGGGGGGCGGAGAGGAGCTTTGAAAAGCCGAAGTGATCTTTGGTAATGTCAGTTCTTTTGCAGATTTGAATCTGTTTCATGTACTGCAACAAAGCTGTTCCTATCTAATGGGGGTCTGGCCTGTGAAAGAGAGGCTGCATTATCAGAGTGTATATCTCAAAAATACCACCAGAATTGACGCTTGTCATGGCATTCCCAGTGACATAGGTTATGGTGCTTGAAGTGTGAACTCTGTTCCCTCCTATCAGGGCTGAAGCCCGTTAGCTTGGCAGTAGGTGTAGGCCTTCCTAACTGCTGCATTTGTTCTGTGTATGGGAGAGGACTTTTCAGTCTTCCGGGTTGTCTGAAAAATTCACTAAAAACTAAAACCTGATTAAGTAGGGGTTTTATTGGAATAAATACCAAGTCAGCTGTGAGAGTGTCTGCCATTTCCATGCAGGCTGACAAAATGTCAAAGAATAAGAAAAAAAAATTAAAGAAAAAGCAGAAACGACAGGCGGAGCTTCTGGAGAAGCGAATGCAGGAGATCGAGGAGATGGAGAAGGAGGCAAGCCCTGTACACAAACAGCCTGAAGAGCAGGAAGAAACTCAGAACTCTCTCGAGATGCTCTTAAAAGAGAGCCCACCTGATGAAGGGGTACCAGAAAAGCTGGGTATGCATCTAGAATGTCACGTGGGTTGCACACAAGGGTGTTTAAACAAGCACAGTAACATTCCGTCAGCCACACTGGTAGAGCTGTATTGTACCTCTCTGCAGCATGTGGTGAACAGGCCTCGAATGCTGTCCAAGAGCCTTGTGAGTGCTGGCTGCTGAACTTTAATTTAATTGCTACCATATTCCACTCATGCTGTAGCTATGCTGTGGATAGTTGTGCCCCTGTAGAGTGACACCTACCATGACAAAAGGCATTTTTCTGTCCCGTAGTAAATCCACCCCCTCAAGAGACTGTAGTAAGATCAACAGAGGAATTCTTCCACTGTCTTACCTGTGCCCTATAGTGGGTTTAGGTCAACCTAACTACACCACACAATGCATGACATTTTTCACAGGCTTGAGCAGTATAGCAAGGGTGACCTAAGTTTTCAGATGCAGTCCTGGTGAGGCTTGTAGTAACAGGGCCAGGGCCTCAGCATCCCGGTGGTGGTAGTGGGGCAGAGGCAGCCCGCAACCCAGCCAGAGGCAGAGCAGTCTGTGTGTGCTGGCCCAGCAGCGGGACTGGTGCCACAGAGGCCGATTGGGGCTGTGTGCTGGCCTGGCAGCAAGGGGCAGAGCTGCAGCAGCCTGGCTGGCAGTAAGGCAGGGTCGTGGCAGCCCATCAGGGGAAGCCAGTCGGGAGCTGCGGTAGCAGAGCCAGGACCATGACAACTCAGCTGGGCCTGAGGCAGCCTGATCAGGGGTGCATGCCAGCCAGCAGTGGAACTGGTGCTGTCACGGCCCCAGCTGGGAACAGGGCAGCTCAGCCAGGGCTGGTGCTGTGGCAGCAGGGCCAAGGCTGCTGTGCTGGCAGTGAGGCTGGAGCAGCCCTGCCGCCCAGCTGGCAGCGGGGCTGAAGGAGCCAGTGACAGGAAGGGGTGGCAGGGTGAGAGGGCTGGTAGCAGGGCTCCTTTCCTGGTCTGGCAAATTCCTTCATCTGGGACTGTTCAGTGCTGGGCTAGGGAGGTCCAATCTGTAGCTTTTGGGGCTCTTTCAGCGTCTTGCTGTAGGTATTACTCCATGTTTAAGTTTCCCTGTCCCTTTTGAGTTTTCTGATGCTTTTTTTTCTTTTAGATGAAGATGCCCATGTGCAAGAGCAAATTATCCTAATGGAAGGCAGCATGGAAAAGTGCATGCCAGAAATCAACTGCAATGGGATGGTACAAATGACTGCCTTCTCAGACTCCAACCAAGGGTCTGAGACGCTTGAGGAGGACCTTCATAATGCCAATAACTGTGATGAGCACGCCCTAGCAAAGGATGGTTTCCACACTTGTAATTACATCCAGCATAATGGAGATGCAGAGAACCGGTCACAAGAAGAAATGTCGGACTCACGTGTGCCCTTAATTTCTGAGGTTCTCGATTCCATGGTATATCAGCCCACTTCAAGTGAAGAGCAGTCGTTCAATGAGCAGGAGATAAGCCAGTTGCAAGAGAGTATACGGGCAGAAATACCCTCAGAGGATGAGAATGAAAATAATGGCACATCTGAGAATAAAGGTACCAGAGAAACCCTCCCTATTAGGGGATCTGTCCTGTGGAGGCTTTATGTGGGCTGACTTGACTCTACCTGAAGCCATATCCACTCTGAGGATCTGTCTGTGGGGTTACAGCCTTGGATTGATAAGCAGTTGTGCCTTTATGATGGATTCCAGTGTGTGTAAAATGCTATAATGCACACTCATATAATTCATTCTGCCCTTCCCATCTTTAAAAAGCACCAGTAACATTCTTTTCCAAGTATGTTTGTTTATGATCAGGATTATGCCTCAAATGGGAACATTCCCTCAGTTTTCTGACTCTAGTTCAGACATCCTTGCTTTTTAAAATCAAGAACTGGGTGGAAGTATAGGGTAGCAATTGATACACAGTGGAGTTCGTGAACGCAAAGACACAACTGCTTTTTAACCTTGGCGTGCGAGAGATGCCTGGACTAGAGTGAGGGAGAAGAGGACTGGCAGAATATAGGGGAATATAGGAAGGCTTGTACTGACATCCCAATTTTTACGGTGGCAGGACCCAAAAGTAACTTTTCTCACAAAGTATTAAAAGTAGCCGGGCTTTACTTTTCTATCCTGATTTCCTTAAGCGATATTCCATTACAGAATGAAAAATGCATTTCAACAAGAAGTGTAAATGGGCAGAGGAAGTTTTTTTTTGCTGAACTCGTAAAGAGAAAAGACTTCAAGTTGGTTTATAGGGTTGGTTGTAACAAGAGATAACAAACTACAAAACTCATTTGATGTCAAAATCTGTATGATGGAGAAACAAAACTCTTTTGAGACATACCCAAAGGTGTACTTGGTATCATTTAAACTCGATTAAACTACTGTTCATTTGAGTCAGACAAATCGAGTTTCAAAATAACAAACTGAGAACAATCCCTGCACTTTGTCAACTAAATTGTATTGTAGGATTAACTCCTTAAAATGCTATCAAGGAAACTTAAGGGAATGTAAGAGCTAAAAAGAAATTTAACAAAGTATCCAAACTCCGCTTGTATTGAGTCTGTTGATGACTCTGCTAGAGTACTAGACACACCTCATTTGTCAGAACTGCTTTCCCACTGCACTTAGGAATCCTTACTAGATGCAGTTTAATGACTTCCCCCACTCTTTGTTTCCAGCATATCCATCCCTGTTCTAACTGTACACTTTAGACCTTGCAGCCATCTGCATTGTTGCTATGGGTAGTGGTGCTGTCATCTTTGGAATTTAACCCTTGTAACTTTAAAGAAGGCTTCCTTAGGGTTCAGGCTCTTGTAGGCCTTAACAGTGCTGCAGAAAGTGTTTTAAAATTCTGCTGGTGTCGGCCCTGTCAAAGAGCCGGTTTGCATGTAAACAAATTAATTTTTAAAAGGCCAAGCTAGCAGAGCTCAAACACAGCCATCTTCCTTCCCTTGCACATGCTCTGTTCTGCTAGTATTTCAGTGTCTTCATTGTGCAGCACAGGGGGGAGGAGCTCTTGCATACATGTGTACTGAGCAGAAAGTGCTAGTTGGGTCAATTTTACAATCAAAATCCCCCTTGCTTGTGGTATTAAAGATATGGACTGGAGGTTGGTGGTTAGTAGCTAGTTTGCGGGAGGAGGGGAGTTGTGGTAATTGACCTATATCTTTCCTGTGGGGTTTGGGTGGCAGATGGTGGTCCTGTCCCTGCAGATTTAATCAGCTGTTGTGCATATTGCATTTAGGGAAATCCACTGCTGGGAATTTTCTCCTTAATCCCCTTGAGCCCAAGAATGCAGATAAGCTCAAAGTGAAGATAGCTGATCTAGGAAATGCCTGCTGGGTGGTAAGTGTAAAACCTTTCAGTGTTGTGTTACCAAAGTTGCTAATTGTTCCCAATTGACTGGGCTTGGATGGGGACTGTATTTACTTAAAAATAAAAGGTGTAAAACATTTGTGGTTCACCTTCAGTGTCCTGAGGGATAACTTAATCCTTAATAAAACAACAAATGGTCTGGTCGCACTTTATAGACTAACAAAACATGTAGATTGGATCATGAGCTTTCGTGGGCACAGCCCACTTCTTCAGATGAACAGAGTTGATCTCTGAAGAATTGGGCTGTGCCCACGAAAGCTCATGATCCAATCTACATGTTTTGTTAGTCTATAAAGTGCGACCAGACCATTTGTTGTTTTTTCCTTTACAGACTAACTCGGCTACCACCTGAAGCTTCTTAATCCTTAATATTTAAGTTTTCAGAGAGTCCTCCTGATGTTTTACTGATGTGCCTTATTGCAGCCTATCAGATCATGCACTCTGACGGACCATTTCATTTGTGACTCCTGAGCATGCAAGATAAACTGGAAATAATTTTGGCTTTTAAAGGCTTTATTGTGCAGCAAAGAACATCTATTTACATTATTTCAAATAGCAAAATGGTTTGGAATGGTCTTAGTCCCTTGAAAAATCTTAAATTCAGGATTCTCTGTTTGAATTGCAACTATTGATGAGACAATGTCCTATAAGGCCGTGTTTCTCAAACTGTGGGTCCCGACACACCCTCTTCTCCCTACCCCCCTCCCCCCCCGGGGAGGTGGGGTCACAAGCAACTTAGATGGGGGTTGCGGTTTCAAAGTTTGAGAACCTCTGCTATAAGGGCTTTCTTTCTCTGCCTTAGGTGGTTTTGCCACATCCCTTCTAGTAAAGGAGAAGGTTGGACTAAGGTGCCGCCAGACTTGTTTTTTGCTTCTTGGTAGTGATTAAAATAGAAATGTATCTTTCTGGGTATTTTAGTATAGGTTAACCTTTATTTAAAATGTGTATGCAAAAGCTTTGTTGTTCACTTAATTTTGTGGTGGTATGATTTAGTGATCCGCGTTCTCGGAATTCACGAGCATTAGCACACAAACTAATAGCTATGAAATACATCTAATAAGCATGGTTCCTAATGTGTAGACTGCACGTCTTCATGTTTGACCTAAGCCTTTGGCATCTGGCAGATGTAAAATAGGTTACCTGTCACAGTCACTTGATAACATTCGTCAAATTGTTGTTCAGCTTTGAAACTGGTATTCTCACCTGTTGTTTCTACTCTTTGCTGTCATCTGAATTGTTAGGCTATTTTGTCTATGAAAAGTGCCTCTAGTAAGGGCATTTTAATCATTTGAAAGTTAAGAAACTGTTTAATTAAAATGTGTCATGTTTCATCTTCAAGATCTCTCGGAAAATAGCATATCTCTGGTACTAATTCTCTTCCTTTTGAGAACTCAACAGCATCCCTTTTCTTTCTTTAGCACAAGCACTTCACTGAGGACATTCAGACAAGGCAATACCGGTCCCTGGAGGTGCTGATAGGGTCCGGGTATAACACTCCTGCTGATATTTGGAGCACAGCCTGTATGGTGAGTTTGGTCATGCAGTGTGTATCTTCAGTAGTCAGTGGCTGCAGAGAATTCTGGGAAATTTCAGCACAGAGTGTACTCTGTGGACCACAGAATCATTTCCGGCTCCAACAAAAGAGCCAGGGTTTAAAGGAAAGCAACCAGGCAGTTTCTAGGTTTGGTAAATCCCATGAGCTCATTCCTCAGGCAAACACTCTTAAAACACCTAAGAGTGGTGCAGATATGTGATTGTTTCTGTTCTGCACAGCGTAGTTACTGCTCTTTGGAATTCATCATCCTATTGCTGGATAGACTAAAGTTATGATGCGTATCCTGTCTCTGATTTGTGATTGTATTGCATGACGTAGAAATACAATTCGAGAAGACAACCTAACATTTTCTCTCTTCTGCTGCTTTTACATCTGCCTTTCTTGGCCTCCGGGTTTCTCTAATGCCTCTGGCTTTAGCAATCAATATTTTGTATAGATGAGGCACTCACACATCCCAAGCCTTGTTAGGAATCATCCCACATTCTGTGAATAAGGTTGAAGTGAAAAAGGGCTGTTCTTAGGATGACTGGCAAATGTTGAATATAGTTTTTTTTTTCTGTCTAAACAAGTGCGTTTGAGATCTAGCCATTGATTACAAATTACATTATATCTCCTTGATCTTGGTTTCTTTTTGGCTCCCTTCAGTATTTAATTTTATTCAGAGCTCATTTTGTATTGGCAAGCTTAGCAAATATGATTGCATGGCCTCATTCCTGCCATGGAGAAGTCAAGCTGTGCTACTGATAAATGAAACAAAATAGAATGCAATGTCATTGTTCCCTGTGCAGCGCTTGTGATCAATAAAACAACACAGATGTGACTTAGGAACTTTAGTTAGATAGTTTCTAGCTATAATGGCATTTTAAAGAATATTCATTTTTCCCCTCTTTTTCAGGGTCTGCTTTTTTATTTGTCTATCTTACAGTGACCAGGCACTACATGATTTGGGTTGGCATCTGATTTCATTCCTCATGAGAACACTGATCTATAGAGAACTCCCTTGTTGTATATCCAACATTGTTTAAGGGGCTATAGCCAAGTCACCATGTCCTTTGCAGCACATTAGACTTAAATTTGGCAGGAACTTCAGAATTTTCAGAAGTACCCTTCTAAATTTTCCCTCTGCAGCCCACAACCTGAGCTGTTTCAGTAGTGTGTCTATTTGTTTTGAATTCCTATTTTATACTGCCTCAGGACTTTAGCCTTTCAGTATAATGTAAATTCTTGTACTGAGGCTTGACACACACAATTGAAAAGTAGCTTATACTGCCTCAGGACTTTAGCCTTTCAATATACTGTAAATTCTTGTACTGAGGCTTGATACATGACACACACAATCGAAAAGTAGCCGGAGGCTGTGGTAGCTTGCCAAGTGGGACCTCGGAGTGTTGGCGATTTGAGATAGTAGGATGAGCTCACTATATGCGAATGCCCTTTTTAAAGCAATTGATGGTGATGATTTAAAAAATTGTTGTAATATTCCAGATTTAATACCCAAGTTTTTAATTCAGTAAGTCTATTGCAGATTTTCTGCAGACTCAGGAGGAAGATGGTTAGTTTACACTTTGTTTTGAGACATCTTTGCAGCCATCAGAACTATAGTGTAACATTACTTGTAAATAAAAGCTAAAGTGGCAGAGAACAGTCTGTGGGCAAGAGGTGGATGTTTCACAATCAGAGTATAGATGACCCTCGGTTCTGTTTCCTAAATACTGTAAACAAGCTCTGTAGAAAATGCAGCTTTGTTCTAAATCAGCAAAAGTCTTCAACATATCAAAAATCTAAGTATGGAAGCAGCATAAAATAAACAGAATTTGTCATCAGGACACCCAAGAAACACTATTTCAGTGGCTCACGTTGTGGGCTGTATAGGGAAGATTTAGAAGATACAGGGCTACGTAATTCTGTGTCTCCAAATCTAGAAGTGAAGAATTGGAGAAAATATGCTTGGAAGGTGGTTGAACTTGTGAAAAATGGCCTTTTTGGAGGAAGCTTCATGGAAACTGCTTTTAAGCCAAGGTGTGCTGCATGGTGTTGATCGCTAACCAAAACAAAGTCTAGTTTGGGGGTCAAGCTGGTGAATCCTTGCTTTTGTACAATGTTTTAATAGTTGAACTTCATCTCAGTTACACTCATTTTTCCATGATCCAAATTTTCTCAGTGAGATGATCTTTTGAAATACATTAATAGATCTGCCGTAATGGCCATGGGCCTTCATCACAACTTATTAGAATAGATCTGTATGTCTTTTGAGGTTTGTTTACAAGTAATTTTCCTCCTCATATCCAAACTGCTACATCTGCTCTTCGATGCTAATATTTATGTCTTTTGAGGTTTGTTTACAAGTAATTGTTTCCTCCTCACATCCAAAATGCTACATCTGCTCTTCAATGCTAATATGTCTAATAGTGACAACTTAAAAACAATTGAGCACATTAATTTTTCTTGTATAGGCCTTTGAACTAGCCACAGGAGACTACTTGTTTGAGCCCCACTCTGGAGAAGACTACTCGCGGGATGAAGGTGAGTGTGTGTCTGTGTTTACTCTTCTAAAATGGGATATTAGCAAAGGGGTTAGCTGAATGGGGGGCCAGGGGAGCTTTCTGTTATGAGTCACTGAAGTAGAGGTTCCTTGTTTGGATACGTATCTGCGTGCTTGAGTAAAGAAGCCCAGGTTAGTAGTATTGGAGGGGGACTTATGTGCTCCTGAGGCTGCATTTTCCGTTACTAAGCAGTAAAGGCTCAGTTTTTGTTGCTTAATACCTAACAAACATTCCCTTGTCTCTTACTGCTATCTTTTCCATATTAGTGTTAATGTGATTCTTCTTCATGCTCAAAATGAATACAAATCTAAATCTCTTTAATCATTTCCCTCTGTTCCTGATTTGAATCTTAAGTCTTGTAGAATATATACATAATCTCAGATTTAAGATTCCATATTCCAAATGTGCGTAATTAAGCCAGGGTATGTAATACTGAAAATGCCATCCCTCTGAGTCTGCATTAGGCATAGGGCGAAAGACCTAGTAGTACCTCCACAAACACAATGACACCATACTATTTATAATATATACACCTCTTAAGTAGAGCTTTGGTCTGTGGATCTCCGTGTGTAAACAACTTTATCCTCAATTATTGATGGAAAATTGAGAAAGTTGCATGAGTTTCCCAATATCATACAGCAGAGCAAGGAATAGAATATTTGTTGTCTGAGCTCCAGGCAGGTGTTCTCACCACAGAACCAAGTTGTCTCAAAAAGATAGTGACAGTCTCAAAATGCTAGAAACATGCTATAGCAACAAGTGAAAAATTTCCCTATAAATATGCAGTGTAACGAACACTTTCGCTAATAGCTAATCGGAGTGTAGCCTTTCCTAGTGTTGTCTTAACTACCTCCTGCCCATTTTAGAATACAGATGATTGATTTGTTGGAGTAGCAAGCTTATAACAGTGCCCATTTCAAAGATCTGAATTTTGAGCAGACAATATAAAGGCATTGTTCAGAAGAAATACAAATGTTTTGTAAATGCAGTTTTACCTAGTATGTTGCTCAGCAACACACCTATAGCATTAATCATGGCTCTTTTCATTGACGGAGCCGTTGGCTCACACTTTAAACAGACCTTACGTGAGCAGTGAAATTAGCTAACATTTATTCCATTTTCCAGTAGCTTAATCATAGAGAATGTTTCTAGGCCTCAACCACTTGGCCCGCCTACAGTTATTGTACATGTCTAGAAAATCAAATCAGTAGTAGAGAAGTGGTATTCCTCAGGCTTTTGTTCTCAAAAGGCAGGTTTTAATTTGAAGATGTACGTTAGTAGATAATGTAGCTGAAGGGGGAGTTGCTTCCAACTCACTAGGATCTTTTTGTATCTCTGTAGCCATTTGGTCTGTACTGCACATGCTAAAGAAATTCAATTTATGTAACTTGGTCACTTTTTTTTCTCACAAGGGACTTGTCAAGAATTCTACACCACTGGTGTGGTTCCTATTTCTGTCACTTTCTTACATATTAGACTACTCTATATGAGTAGTAATTTCTTGAAAATCCATGGTTTTCTTGAAAATCCTAATGTCTCTGAATTGTTCCAGAGGTGTCTAATTGCACCAGTTAATTCCCTTGATACTCATAATTGGTGCAGTTTGTGTTACTCCAAATTTCACTGGAGACCTCCCCACTCATCTGTATTTATTAAATGAGGAATTAACAATTCACTATAGAGTTAAACTCAAGGAGAACGAACACACACACTCACACTGTCTCTCATGCCCTCAGGCACACTTACACGGGCAAAGAGGTTGCAGAGAGAGAGAAAATCAAGGCATAGTATGTCCGGAGCGTCTGCCTGCAGTCATGGATCCCAGCAAGCTAATCATAAAAAGAAGGCTTCTGCCACATGTTCTCTCCTTTTTATTGGAATTGAGTGGCTCCTGTGTCTCACTCAGGGTCCTTCCTCCACGTTTGTCACCAAGGAGTGTGCCACATCTCTCTTGATCAGGGTCCTTCATTTGCTTAGCACAGCGGTGTCTCCATGATTGCTTTAATTAGTCATCATCTGGCTCCACATTCTTAACCTTGCTGTTTTCCTCACCCCAAACACGCTCCAGTCTCCATTCACACACACTCTTATCACAGAATGGAATGTGGCTTAGAGTAAGTTACAGAAATTAAAAACTCCAGTCATCTGAAGAAGTGGGCTGTGCCCACGAAAGCTCATGATCCCATCTCCATGTTTTGTTAGTCTGTAAAGTTCCACCAGACCATTTGTTGTTTTTTTTCTGTATCAGACTAACTCGGCTACCCCCTGAAGCTTCAGAAATTAAAAAGTGACTTAGAAAGGAACTGCCCTGCCTCAAACAGTGTTCTCAGCAATGCAGTTAGCAGCAGGTTTTGTCATTCTCTAAGTCATGTGTTGGTAGGACCTTACAGTTAGTTGTATTTCCAGAAAATGTATGTGTAAATCAAGTAACTCCAATTTAATAGCTCGGGTGGAGGCTTTACACAGCATTTCATATATTAAAAAGCACAGTCACATTACACAGCTGATGTGTGAAATATATGAAAATTCTAGGGCTTTCAAGCGATTTAAAAAATGTAATTGTGGGATTAATTGCGCAATTAATCACATGTGCCTCCCCTTTGAAACACCGCCACAGCATTTTAACAGGGCGGTGCTGCATGGAGCCTGGGGTTAGCTAGAGACCCCAGCTGACCCTTGGCTCCATGCAGCGCTGCCCTTTTGAAGCGCCGTGGTGATGCATCAAAGGGGCAGCACAACACAGAGCCCAGGATCAGCTGGAGTGCCTAGCTGATCCCAGACTCCACGGCTGCCCCTTTAAAATGCTGCCTCTGGCTTTTCAAAGGGGCAGCTGCCGTGGAGCCCAAGGTCAGCTGGGGACTGCCCAACTGACCCTGGGCTCTGGGGAAATTCGGCACAGAGCCTGGGATCAACTGGGGACTCCCCAGCTGACCCCAGGCTCCAGGCTGCCCCTTTAAAATGCCACCTCCACATGTTTCAAAGGGGCAGTAGAGCTAGGGGTCAGCTGGGAACTCCCCAGCTGATCCTGGGCTCCGTGTGGCATTTCCCCAGAACCTGGGGTCAGCTGGGGAGTCCCTAGCTGACTCCGGGTTCCATAGGACTCCCCAGCTGATCTCGGGTTCCCTGACTTAGCTGTGAGGCGCTGGCCCTTTGAAACACCACCTCTGTGTGTTTCAATGGGGAGTCCCCAGCTGATCCCAGGCTCTGCATTGTGCTGCCCCTTTGAAGTGCCACAGCAACACTTCAGAGGGGCAGTGCAGCATTAATGCCTGTGATTAATGTGTTAATTTTTTAAACACGTTAATTCTTGACTGCGTTAATCGCAGGCGTTAACGTGTATCAATTGACAGCCCTAGTAAATTCCTCTGGGTTAGGAGTCTCTGAACAGCCTTAGTAGGCATTGGAAAAATGCCATATCTGCTTCAATGACAGGGAACCTCTTCCAGACATTTCAAAGCACTAAAAACAATTTTCCAGGCAGGAGAGTTTGCTTGATTCAAATTGAAGACTACAGACACCACAGTGTATGCAGTTGTATATATCTTAAGCTGGTGATCTTCAGAAATTAGAATCTCTGCATTTAGATAGCGTGTGCAACCACAGCTAATGAATCCCCACCAGCACTGCCGTGTCCTATAGGAAGTTAGATTACTTATTGTCTAATTTGAAACACACATCAAATGGAACAGAAAGCTACAAGATAGGTGTAGATATACAATCCATGCAACACAGGTCAAAGTGACATCTCAGTAAGAGAGCTTTGGAGTCCTCTCCTGGGGTAGCCTTTGATTGTAGCATGTTTCAGAGATCTCCAGTCTTATATATAGATTTGTAATCCTGGTGTATTGGCAACCTTGAGAATTTGTGCATCTTGTATATCTACTTGGGGCATTTCAGTAATTACATGTCTTTTACAGTGACATCTAGTTCCCCCTTCAGCTGAATTTGTAAGTGCAAGAGTTCAAGAATGGTATGGAAAATCCTAAAGCTAAGGAAGAATTACAGGACTGAAATCTGAGCAGTGTGAACTGAAAGTATTTCAGTTCCTGTTTAAAAATTGGTTTTAGTTCAAATTTAAAACTTTGAAGAAAAGCAGTCTATTTTCCACCCACCCCTAGAATATAATTCTTTGGACTCCAGGATAACTAAGACAGACCAAACAGGATATTCCTAATATTTCTCAAGTGTAAAGCATTTGCCCTGTATACATAATAAACCTGAAATTGCTTCCCCCTTCAGCAGATCACCTTTAAACAGCTACTCTGTCCCACAAGTTTGTTGTTGAAATAAGCCTTTTACAGCCACTTTTCCATTCTCCCATCTTTCTGTCCCTTTTGTTTTATTCTTCTTCCCCTTCTGTTTTAGACCACATTGCGCATATTGTAGAGCTGCTAGGCAGAATTCCAAGGCACTTTGCCCTCTGTGGGAAATATTCACAGGAGTTCTTCGATCACAGAGGTAGTATTTTTTCCCCCACCCTTTCCTCCTCCAGGCACCAGGGATGCAGACAATCAGGAGACGGAGCATCCACACCAGTTTTTTGTTCCACGTCAGCCCACCTACCAATGGAGTATAGGCTTCCCTAGGTCCCAGAGTTCCTAGAGTACTAGGAACTACAATCCAAGGATTCTCCTAGTAGGGGATTTGAAGTCTGGACTTGATCCATTTCTTCCCAGTTAGTGAAGAAAACAAGAATGAAAAGTTTTCCAAATGGAGGTGTGCATGCTGCTCTCTCTGTCGGTGTCCAGAGCTGTTGCTCTGTGTGGAGTGCCTTGTATTGATATCTGCTATGTATGTCTCTCTTCTTTCTGAAATGTTTTGGAACATGCAGATCACATTGCATTGATCATAGAACTTCTGGGGAAAATACCTCGCAAGCTCATTGTGGCAGGAAAATATTCCAAGGAGTTTTTCACCAAAAAAGGTAAAAGTAAACCACAATTTTTCTAGGAGAGCCCTAATGCCTGTTGCTGAAGCCTACCAGGTAACTATAAACCACATCAAAGCCATGATCTTAAGTTTTCTGGCTGCTGTACCACCGGTTGCTGAGGATCAAGGTGCTGCTCTGTACATGGGTTCTTACCTGGCTACTGAGTGCATACCAGTGCTCCCATCTCAGCACATACCAACCACAAGCAGATGGCGAACACTGCTGTGATCAGTATGTCGGCTTTGTGGGCTGATTTGGCATGCAGTCAGTTTTTATCAACTAATGGCTTTAATGTGCTGTTGAGTTCCTTTATCTAGGCAACCTTGCTCATCTCCTGGCCTACTAATTTAATTCTATCAGAGCAGCGGTACCCTATGGAAGTGAATATTGAGAGGTGCTGTTTCAAATCCCAAGTTTGTTCTTCTGTAGAGTCCTGAAATAATTCAACTCTATTTGAGGAAGCAATATTCTGCTGAGCTGTAGGAAGCTGGCAGAATTGTATTAGCCAGGCCAAGAATCTCTTAATGAGGGTAATACTTTTCTGTCATGAGGGCTTCTTAACACTAGCTCCTAGTTAAAATGCATCTGTCTTCTCTCCTTTGGGCAGAGCATGAGGACTGAAGTGTTTTGTGTTCTGATGTCCAGTAATCTTCAGATTTAGAAGTCTGAATAGGAAACACCTGTCTATGTGCAGAACCTCTCCTCTCAGACTGGTTCTGTGTATCTGCAAGTCAGGACAGATAGCGGGTGCTCTTGTGTTAATGTCTATATTTTTCAGTTATAGTGACTAATCTTGTATTAAGACTGAAGCAGAAGGAGAGAGAAATCAGTCTTGCAAGTATCTCTTCTATAACTGGTTGACTTGCAAAGGCAGCTTTATAAAAAGTGAAGCTTGAGTTGTTAAAATTCAACCCTTTATGCCCCCAGACATCATTTACCAAAGCAACACTTGAGTCCTGATGCCACCCCTAAGTAACTTGGTAAGCCACTCTGGTACTGTTTGTGACTTGCTGTTGACGTGTCTGATTTGGTTTTCAGGTGATCTGAAACACATCACCAAACTGAAGCCCTGGGGCCTTTTTGAAGTTCTGGTGGAGAAATATGAGTGGTCCCAAGATGAGGCAGCTGCATTCACAGACTTCTTATTACCTATGTTGGAGCTGATTCCAGAGAAACGGGCTACGGCAGCTGAGTGTCTCAGGCACCCCTGGCTTAACTCCTAGGGCTTCAACCCTACACCACAGTTCTACGGTCTGGTTTACAACATACCCAGTTGTTCCAACTGCCCCTCCCCAGATCCATTTTTTTCCCTTATTTCTTTTCAGCATGAAGCTCTTCCTTCAGGGCTTCTGAGATTTTAGATAAATTTAACCTGTTCACCTGAGTTTGCTTATTTGATTAAGCCGAGACTCTTCTCAGCCAGTGGGCATCCTGTGAGCTTTGCCTTGTCTGGGCTTTGCCAAAGATTGACTGACTGGAATACAAAGTTGCCTCTGAGTCTCTTACCTGTTAATGTAGGCATGAGCTGATCTGCATTCATATGTGCTCCTTTAACTAAATTACACCAAGGAAGGGGGATATGAAGATCTGTGAATCCATTCTTAGCTCCCTGACTCAAGTCAATTTTCCACTGCACGTCCAGTAGCTAGCAGGAGGATGAGAAATGACAGATTGGTACCTGGGTGATAACTCAAAATCCTTCACCCACCCCTTGGTGTCTGTTGTTTCTTGGGTGACTTGTCATGTTCTTATCAGTCAAATAATTTTTCTTTAGTTTTAGCCACTGAATCCTATGAAAAGCTGTATTTAAAAACTATTTTTAGTCCTATTATTTTCCCTTAGTGTTGAGGTTAGTTTCTGAATTCAGTGAAACCTGCTATACACTCAAACACCTGAGCCTAGGACTAAAAACTTCACATGGGAATTAAAAAGGGGGGGAAAAGTTGGAACTGGTTAAACGCACAATCTTCAGAATAGACGTGTGCATGCTTGGAGAGCGGAGAGGCAGTTGGGGGCTGCAGGTGACTCTTCCTAGACATTTGAGTGAGCTGTCAGTGTGTGTTGCTCGTACTGGCACTTCCATTGCCTTTCCTGAAGTTGTCATTGCACCAGTGAGCAGTTGGCATTCAGTCTAGAAAGAGGGAATGTACTTTGACCATTGAGTTACAATGAGAGGGTGGTGGCATCTGTGTCACGGCCACGCCACGTTCCTTGACTTTAAAATACCACATTTCCAAAGGTTAATGTAAAGGTTGCTACTGTTAGCTTGCTGTAGGTGCTGGCCTTTAGAAGTAACTTTCCCAAAGGGATTGCCTTTCATTTTCAGAGGCAATTGAGTACCTGGGGATGAGCCTGAGGAGAACTGAACTAGGTGGTTTGGTGTCTTTTTCCTGTAGACAGAGTCAGCTTCTGTTTCCAAGAATCACCCCAAATATGGTTGCCCAGTAGAATATTATATAAGCTTTTAAACTTCTCAGAAAGGTTTGCGGGGGCAGTGATTTTAATTCAGAGTTAAAGCATTGTAGGGTTTGGTAGTTTTACAGTGGGTCTCTCCTAGGCTTGCCTAAGCTATTACAGATTCATTGCATCCTACTCTAAAGCAAGGTTTTGGCAGGGTAGTTATTAGCAGCCCTTTCTCACCGTGGACCAAACAGGCCTTTGGGATCAAAAGGACAAACTCAGAGAACAAACTGGCCACAGGATTCGAATTCCCAGAAGGCCAAGGAGGCACTATTAGAGATGGTAACACCAAAGCTATCAGTGAGATACATGTCAGTCTTCTCTGTGTGTTTGAAATCTCAGTTCATAACATCCATCCACAAAAGATGGTGTCCTTATTTAATCCATTTTGAAGATATAACCATCTTGCCCTATATTTTCTTGCTTGTCCAATCGAACACCGACTGGGCTGTTAATGAAATTCATGCTGCATGTTCATTTAGGGGTTCTTAAGCCAGGTTCTCTATGCATAATCTTAAGATTAAAGGAAATAAATATACCAAAACAGTTTAAAACTGCTGAGCAATTTTCCTGGAATCTGGAGTTCCTTCTCCAAGAATAATTTTGTTTCTGTTGTAAAGGGGTTACAGACAAGACTGGACTGTATTATTAACCTTCTGTTTAAATACTGTGAAGACTTTTTGGCAGGGTGATTGGAACTTCTGGTGGCATCACTCAAGCTCACCTCAGCCTGTGCACTTCTGCAACATGGCTGACCTGAAGGAATGAGATACCCATAATGGGGTCTGCACATCAGGTTCTGAGGTATCCATTCCCCCATCACAGCCAGACGAGGGCTTATCCTCTATCTCAGTAAAAGAGCCAGCTTGTGGGTTAACACACAGAGGCAGCTGTCAGCATTCAGTCTTGTCCCTTGTGCTCGCTCATTTGGGGTTCGTTAAACTTCCAAATTGCCATAAAGTGCTCACTAAAGGATTTGTACTTGCTATGTTCGTCTAAAACCTGAAGGAAAATACATTTTTATTCTTTCTACTTGAGTGCATTCTTTTCTTTGTAAATGCAGTACAATAAAACAGATTATTTAATAACCCACACTTATTCTATTCCTGATATGTTCCCTCTAACTTGTTTGTTATTCTGATAGAGTAGGGGACAGGGTTAACGCATATAGTCTTGAGACCCCATTCACATGTAGTATTGTGTAATCTAGGTAGATAAAATCCCAAATATTAGCAAAATCTTTATTTTGCTTGCTACTAAAATAGAAACTAAGAAGATACAACTTTGCTATAAAGTTGTCCTCTTTAAATAGCCATGTGCCAAACTTTGCCACTTAATAGTCCCTTCCTTTATCTGTCTCTTCTGCCTTCCCTAATAGGGAGCCATCCTTAATTGTAAAGTGGATGTTCAGGGTGCAGCCTGGCTGGAACTGACCTGCTTTCTAGCAACTATTAGGCCATAAACACTAAGTTCTACTTTGCTATGTAGATTGTTGGATTGAGAGCTGGTAGTGCTACCTTTAAGGTCCCCAAATCAGAAGTGGTTGCATTCCTGTGCAATCTCCATTCTTACGTTCCACAGAAGACTGCTGTAGGTGGGCGTTCATAGGGTGTGTCTAGACTACAGGGTTTTTTCCGAAAAAAGTAGCCTTTTTTTGAAAAAACTTCCCCTGCATCTAGACTGCTGCCGCGTTTTCTAAAGTAAATCAAAAGAATGTGGCAGTTTTTTCGACTATGGAAAATGTCGTTTTACGAGGAAGAATGCCTATTTTTAAAGTGCTCTTTCGAAAAAAGATGCCATGTAATGCAAACTGTGATATTTGGAAAAGAGCATCCAGACTGCCTGGGTGCTCTTTCAAAAAAGCACTGATTGTAGTCTAGATGCTCTTTTTCGAAAGAGGCTTGCAGTCTAAATGTAGCCTTAGTCTATGGGGAACTGGTAACTAAACAATGCAGCCAGTGATAGTGTGAATTGAGCTGACTTGAGTGACACTATCTGCTCCATTGAACAGAATCTCAGTTCCCTGCTATGTCATGCTGGAGCCCAGCAGATGAGTGCCAGAAAAGAGGCTTCATCATGCTTTGCCTTGAATGTTGCTCAGTACGGTGAAAGAGGAGTTGTGTAGCCTGGTGAGTTCTAAGGCTGACTTTTTTCACTGCCCCATTAATTCAGCAAGTAGCTGGATTCTTTATACTAACTGGACTATGGCTTTGTTTGATCTTTGTCCCCATGGGTAATTTCAAGAGCCAGCATTATTTTAAAAAAAAAAAATGTGCTGTTTGATCTTTGTCCCCATGGGTAATTTCAAGAGGCAGCATTATTTAATAAAAAAAAAGTGTCCATTGTGCACCTTGTTGGAATGTGGGTGTTGAATGGCTTTTCCTGTAAAACAATGCTCAGGATTGCTCATGTAGGAGAAGCTAGGTGAGTACGCTTTCCAAGGACAGTAGCACAAAATCAAAACACTGCCATTTTGTGTTTTATTCAGCTATTTTTTTCCTGAAACAGGCCAGTACAAAATGTGACTCTGTAAATAAAGCACACAATGCCCCTGGCTCACCACTGCCTAAGGTGGTAGCTTCATCAAATGTTGAGCTGTCCCACTCCATAACTGATTGTGTCCTGTCCAAATAAACTCTATGGGGATTCCCTTCGCATGGAATCTTTTCAAGACAGTTTGTAGTGAGAATAGAGGTCCTTCAACATGACTTCTCCAAGAAAAGCATCAAGTTTCAGGTGATTACCTGGAGGGGGCGAGAAGAGAATGGGACTGTGACAAAATTGTAATTGAAAATAAATCAATGCAAGTTTTCTCTTTAATTCCCTTGTGTGCCGTGTGCCATTAGGTAAAAGTAGAGTTTGGTAGTTTTACATTAAATATATAAAAGAAATGGGAATAAAGGGTACTGAAATCCAAATATTACCACTGATCTTTCACTTGGAAACAAGTTTAGAAGTAGCATCAAATTAGGGTTACTTACAGGGATGTTCAGGTTCTTCAGGCATGGTCCTCCTCTGTAAAAACAAATTACCTTTATATTAAGGTGAGTGGGAGTAAAGCACAAGAGCAGCCATCTACAACAGTAGCCCTAGTTTCATATGTTAAGGGAAAAAGTGTCTTCAGTGAGAGGGCAGCTGAGTGAGAAGGCACTGTCTCGTCCCCTGCTGCGTGCTGATCATGGACCTCAGACCGTATCTGTTCACTAATGCAGTCTCCTTTCAGTTCAGAGGTATGCAAGTGGACTAGCACTTGCTTGAGGGTTGCCTTAACCTTTGCATAATTATGGTGACCATATTTTTCTGAACCAAAATTAGGGATATGTTAGCCACACCCCCTGCCACAAGAAGTCCCACCCCTGGAGGTAGTGCCCCTGGCATCAAGATGGACACATGACCACAAGTTAAAGGGTGTCATGTGACCCCTCTAAGAACTCCTCCCACTGTCCTACCAATAAGGATGGGTTTGGCCCCCACAGGACCCCTCCCCCATGCAACTATCCTGCAATTGCATTAACCCAATTTGCATATCATTAACTCGGGGGAGAGGCTGGGGGAAGTGTTCCCTTTAAGATTTTCCTCCCATGAGTGGAGTGAGTTTTGTCTTATGCACCAGTATTTAATTCACATGCAGATGTTCAGATGGGTGCCACTGTGGCACCCAAATTATTAATAAATATCTTATAAACTTCTCCCTTTTCCCATCTGCTCCCCTGGTTCCTGCTATCCCTCACCCTCCTCTGCTGTCCTGACTCCTGCCCTTCTTGCCACAGCTCTCCTGGGACCTGCTGCCCTTCTCTTCCCGCTGTGTCCACTCCTCTAGCCCCACTCTGATCATCTGTAGCTACCCATCCCCTCCTCCTAACACCTCCTATCCACTTGACCTGCCTCTCTCTGGTACCCATCCTTCTCCACGTGTCTGCCCTTCTGCTTCACCCCCCCCCAATTCCCTGGCACCTTACCCCTGCGCCTCACTGCCCCTGCCCTCCTTGCCTCTTTCTCCCTGGTGCCCATCCCCTCACCACTCTGCCCCAGTTCTCCTCATGCCCCTCTGCGCGCACTCCAGCATGACTTGCTCCATCCCCTGCCTTCCTCATGCCCACCCCTCTTTTCAACCTTTCTTCTCCCTGCACCCACTGCTCCCGTCTCCTCTTCCTTCGTCTTGCCTCATTGTCCCCTCCCCTTTCCTCTCCCAGCATCATCCTGTCCCCTCCCTTCCCACCCACACTGATATCATTCCTCCCCTCCCTCCTGCTGCCCTTTTCTTCATTGTCTCCTCTTGTCCACCTGGCTTTTGTCTCTCCTTCCACCCTGCTCCTTGGTGCCTTCCCCTTTCTTCTCCTGCCCTCCCCTGCCCCCCCCCAACACAAGCCCCTTCCTCTCCTCCCCCCACCTCCCACTTAGTTCTCCTCCTGCCCCTTCCCTCACCACCTGCCTTCGACATGGGAAGCAGTTTGCAGGGCTGGACCTGCGATGCTATTTTTATTACCACGGTCCAGCCCTAGCTGCTGCCGGGGCAGGTCCATGTGCTGGGACTGGAGCAGAGGCTGCCCACTGCTATTTTTAGTACTGGCTCCAGCTGGAGTCAAGGGGCAGCCGCATGAGGCCTGTTCTGGTGAGGCTGCTCCAGCTGGAATATGCCTTCTGTGGCTGCCCCTTAACTCCAGCTGGAGCCGCCTGTGGGGACCTGGCCCACAGTACTAAAAATAGCACCATGTGCTGCCTCTGCTACAGTCCTGGCACCTGCTGAGTCCGAGCATGCCCTGCCCCACAGTGCCCCAGCCAGGCTCTATGCAGCTACTGCTGGGGCTCCAAGGCGGCCTGGAGGAAGAAGCCTGGGAGGACCAGGACCCCGTGCAGCAGAAGCAGTCCCACGAGGATTGGGATGGGCCACATGCCACCAGAAGCCAGCACGGCTACCCTACGCACCCTGCTGGGGCAGAGGGGGAGGAGGCTGCTGCACTGTGTGAGGAGCAATGGCACTGTGCCATTTTTTGTTTCTTCCCATAAGCCAGTGTCCCCATCAAGTAGTAAAATGTCCGGTGGGACTTTCTGGGACATTTCACTACTTGCCAGGGCACTGGGACAGAGTGTTTAGATTCAGGACTGTCCTGGAAGAATCCGGACATTATGGTCAGTGTATGCATCATACACAACGCTTGTGGGCTTCAGAAACCAAATGCTGCTCATAGGAGGGATAGTAAAAACCATTACTAAATGCTTTTAACACACCAAATGGTGTGTCAAGTCAGATATTTCATCTCATTAGGGATGAGTGTGCTACAACTCTTCCCCCCCCCAACTAATTCTTCCCTTGACAAAATGAAATTATTCTCTGCCATCCCTGATGTTACATAACAGAGTGGGTCAGACCAAAGGTCTCTTCTGACAGTGGCCAAGGCCAGGTACCCCAAAGGGAATGAACAGGATACATAATTAAGTGATCCACCTGCTCTTCCTCATTCCCACCTTCTGACAAACACAGGGTTCAGATGCCATTGATGGACCTAACCTCCAAGAATTTATCTAGTTCTTGTTTGAATCCTGTTAAAGTCCTGGTCTTCACAACATCCTCTGGCAAGGAGTTCCACAGGTTGACTGTATATTGTATGAAGAAGTATTTCCTTTTGTTTGTTTTAAGCCTGCCTATTTTCATTTGGTGACCCCTAGTTCTTGTGTTATGGGAACAAGTAAATAACTTTTCCTGATTTATTTTCTTTGCATGAGCCGTGGTTTCATAGACCGCTATCATATCTCTCTTTCGTTTCCTCTTTTCTAAGCTGAAAAGTCCCAGTCTCACTAATTGCTTCTCAAATGGCAGCAGTTCCATAGCCCCATGGGCATTGGGTGAAAGCCCAGCTGGGGAGGGCAAGATTCAGCCCTGCCCCTAGAGCCAAGCCCCGCCCACCCCCCAGCTGCATCCTGCCTGCCCCAACGGCAGGGGAAGGCTGTGCTGCCCTACCATGGCCCCGTTTCCCCCCACCATGCTGCTGAGCTGGACTGCCTTGCCCAGAGCCTGGGGGGATCAGGGCTACCATGCCGCCGTTCTAGTCTTCCCCGGCGGTAGCCCCAGCCTTAGGCAGTTGGTCATGTTGGCGGTTTTGGGAAAGCTGTGCCTTCCTTTGCCTCCATTACTGACTTCCCGTTCATACCCGTAATCATTTTTGTTGCCCTTTTCTGAACTTTTTCCAATGTCAAGAAGAGGCAACCACATCTTTACACAGATGTGGGCATACCATGGATTTATGTAGAGGCAATAAAATATTCTCTCTTTTTTTTTTTTATACCTTTTAAAAATATTCCTAACAGTCTGTTTGCTTTTTTGACTGCTGCAGAACATCAAGCGGTTGTTTTCAGAGAACTATCCACAGTGACTCCAAGATCTCTCTCTCAAGTGGAAAGAACTAATTTTCGTCCCCATCATTTTGTATGTATAGTTGGCATTATAGTTTCCCATATGCATTACTTTGCATTTATCATCAGTAAAATGCATCTGCCATTGTGTTGCCCAATCACCTAGTTTTGTGAGATCCTTTTAAAGTTTTTGCAGTCTGCTTTGGACGTAACTATCTTGAACACTTTGAGATCTGCAATTTTTGCCACCTCACAGTTTATCCTTTTCTCTGGATCATTTATGAATATATTAAATAGGATTGACCGCAGTACGGACCCCTCTGGGACACCATTTTTGAGAACTGACCATTTATTCCTACCCTTATCAAAGGCTTTCTGGAAATCTAAGTACACGATCTTCTCTTCTGTCGATTGCCATGTCTGCATCAATGTCTACCCAGGGTAGCTCACTGAGTGACGTCTGTCATCCCCCACCGGAGTGGCTTAGAGACCTTTAGTGCTGGGGAAGTACTAGTTTTTAGAAAGCAATTAGCTGGCTAGCCACAATGAGTAGACAGAAGACTGCTCTGGCCAATACTGCTGGAACCTCATCTTGTTAATATCTCTTCCCCAGCACTGTCCCGGTCTCTGTACACCTAGGCCCCAACTGGAACTTGCTTTATCAATGGCAGTGACCTGTCAAGGGTTTTGATGTTCCTGTAAGAGATGAGCAATAGTTGCCAGGAGAGAGAACAAAGTGGGTCTTTGCCCTAGACAGTTACCTTTATTTTCTACTTTGAAATCGTCGGGGAGTAGGTTGTCTTGCCGGTTCCCTAGAACAAAGGCCAGGAAGGAGAGGAGGAGTGCATCCAGGATCCCGATGATGCAGAGGATGAAGGCCCAACGCACGGTGCATGCTCCTAGTGTGTATTTGTCTGTCTTGTCCCCACACATGCGCTTCACTTCATTGGAATCCCAGCCATCAGGGTAGATCAGGCAGCCTATCATTAGGCCAGCTGCTGTAGGGGGGAAAAACTTGAGGTGTTAACAAGTGGCACAGTGATACTGCACTGCTGTCTTGAGTGGATGGGGTGAAAAGCAGGGAACAGAAAAGTCCTTGAATGCTAATTAGCCTTTTTTTTTTTTTAAATAAGTCATTATGCGTGTCCCCCGCTCCTTTCCACAATGGCTCAGCAGCTGATTGTGCAAAATAAAGCGTAGCCTTTCACAGCACTAGGTGCATTTTCTGGGAGCATCTTGTCCCAGAATCTGGGACATCAGCATCATCCAGCACCTGAGATTGTATCAGGAAGAGAACAGCACAGCTAGTGCTATAGACCATGACCATGGATCTGACCATGCTTGGAATAGAACCAGCACTGTCATGTGCCTATGACTACAAACCACCAGCTCAAAGAGCAAGCTGTGGACTAAATGAAAATTGCAAAATGTGTCACTGACTAATGAATAAATCCATTTAAACTGCTCTGTGCCTCGCTTCTCCGCAGGCTGGTGAAACAAAGAGGGAAGTTGCTTCTGTAAAGTTCTTGTTTCTTGGCTGACAAATGCCCTACAAAGCTATTTCTACATCCTCACATCAGTATCAGAAACATAATCAAAGACCGAGTTGTGCCAAATAACGTGCTTGTTTAAATGGTTTAGCTCTGGTCTCCGTCTCGCACAGTTAGAATCAGGTAGTTCAGACTCTTCCATTAATAATCGCATTGCACTTTTCTATTGTCAATTTCAAAGGGCTTCAACTCAGGTGGGTATTTATCCTCCCTGTCTTACAGATGGAAAATTGAGGCACTGTGCTGGAACGAGTAAGAATCCAAGCTCTAGCTAGAACTAAGATTTGTGTGTGTGAGGTGCAATCGGGTAACCCACAGTAACTAGTTTGGCATCTAGTGAGCAGTGTTTGATGCAGTCTCACTGCCCTGGAGCCTAGTTATGTGTGAGCAAGGGCAGATCTAAAGAGCAAAGTTATCCAAACCGAGCTAAAATAGTGGAATTGACGTGGTACAATATCCACCCCATGTCTCCCTGGTGAGGATGAAGTAAGGGCAAGAGAAAAGTGCCTTTCTACCAGTATAGTTTATTTCCACGGGGGGAGGGAAGGAAGCTATCTTCAGAGCAGTGTAACTCCACATTTGGGGTTGTACCAGTCTAACTCTTTTGGTTAATACTGCACCCTTCAATAACTCAGTCCTACCAGTACACAAACAGGCCAGGTTGCACGCTGCCAGCATAGCTACACTGAGCAGAGGGGTGCAGCACACTGGGATCTGAGACTGGCCTTGCAGGCAGCCAGCAGAAGAGCCTGGCTAGATAGTCTGGTTTCGCTCGTGGAGGCCCGAATAAGTGGTAGTGCCAAAAGCATGGCTTTGCTGCGATAAGCAGGCTAGGTCTTCTGGTACAGCCATGCCAGCAAAGGGCTCCTGGCACAGCCTAGCCTAACGTTTTCATGTAACCTGCGGATTATCCACGTGCGCATCTCACTCACTTCTCTCAGCTGCTGAGAGTGATCAGGGAGAGATTTGTAACCCACATGGCCGTGCCTTCTAGCTATCTCTCGGGGACAGCGGCTGTGCCTCCAGGAGCACAATGCTCATGGCAGAAGGAAATGCTGCTGCAAAATCTCCCTTTAACTTGGTCACCGTGGCAACACCCTTCCATTCCTGCCTGAGTATGCAACAGCATCCTGTGAAAGGCGCCCTCACTTGCTAGGAACGGTCTCCTCCCAATGGAAGAAGCAGATTGTCAGTGGACGTGTTTGAGCTGGGGAAACTTGTACGGCTATTTATTTAACCAGGGTTGGGCCAACTTCTACTTAAGTGTATTTTATTGCATCCTAAGCAGTTGACACCCAGGTTAATTCTAGTGTAGTGTCAGCTGGAATCCCACACAAGGTCAACTCCTTTTGTAAACATTTAGATAGCCTACCTCCAGGAGTGTACACAACCTCGTCTGATCCGTACCTGGCTCCAAGCTGCTTTCACTCACGTGCCGTACCTGTACCATGCGATGCCTTTCCTGCTGCTGTTAGAGCAAATGCAGTTTTCAGCCAGGTAGCTTGTCTTCCAGTCTCAAAAGTATTTGGGCTGCTAAATACAATACTTTCTATACTTTCTGAAGAGTCATTATGGGTGATTCGTGGGTGCTAGTCCTACGACTAAGGTGCCTAAAGGCTAGTCCCAGTTTGCCACTCACTGATTGTAAAGTAATGGTTGGGGGAGGGGGGGCAGGAGATACTGGAAGGAACCTCAAGAGGTTACCAGGTCCAGTCCCCTGCACTGATGGCAGGACCAAGCACCATCTAGACCGGGGTAGGCAAATACTGGTCCACAAATGGCTCCTGGCAGGCCTCCACCATTGTATTTACCTGTAGGGCCACAGGTACCAGTCATTGCAGCCAATGGGAGCTGCAGGAAGCAGTATACCAGTCCGCGCCACTTCCTGCTGCTTCCTTTGACTGGGATCCATAGCCAACGGGAGCCACAATCGCCGTTACCTGAGGCAATACATGTAGCAGTGGGAGGGCCTGCCAGGAGCTAACCCGGTGAACCACTGCTGTGTTATTGCCCACCCCCATCTAGACCATCCTTGATAGGTGTCGAATCAGCTTTTTTAAATCCTCATTGATGGAGATTCCACAACCTCCGTGGGCAATTTATTCCAGTGTTTAACCAGCCTGACAGGCAGGAAGCTTTTCCTAAAGTCCAACCTAAACCTCCCTTGCTTGCCCATTGCTTCTTGTCCTGTCCTCAGAGGCTGGCGAGAATAAGTATGCAACAAGGCCCTTGCTATGGATAAATTAGTCAATGCACTTCAGATTCAGAGCAGGGATTCTCTTTCCAGCTGTAGTGTGCGTGGGGCCTAGCAGGGCGATTGAGTTGGCGCGCGTAGGCTAGCCTCGGCCAATGAATTCTTCAAAAAGTCCACGGAAGGCGCCTAGCAAACGTTTTAAAGAGCAACTTCCTGAGCAGCTTTGACTTCCCTGCTCTTCACCCCACCCCCCAAGCTCTCTGGGTTGGGGCCAATGTTATGTTCGCACAATTTCTGGCACGGAGAACTGTGCAGCCTACAGTGCAATTGTAAGCTCCATCATAAATCCACACCCTCTCTAACGTACATGCAGGTCCTTCAGCCGGAAACATGCTCTTCCCTCCTACGCCACAGAAATGTGACCGCACCTAGAGTTCTGGAGCGAGAGACTATTGATCTCCACCATGCACGTCTTCTCTCCTCCGGCACCCGGCAACTGGCATGCTGAAGCAGCTGAATGCTCATGGTTAGTTGCTCTTTGAAACACTGTTTTAGAGAGACAGCTCTCAGGGATGGTCTAGACTGTGCTTGGTCCTACCATGAGGGAGGGGTCCCAGTGTTCTATGAGTTGGATGCATCAGGTACCAGCAGATTAGCAACAGCACGCTCTGTCCCTCTTGTTATGCAGAGGTGTAATGATGCTGCTGTTGCCACATTTCTAACCACACTCACGCACACGCACATGCACACACATACACCACACTTTCCTTGCAGCCAGCTTTTCTCTCTGTCCCTAGGATGCCGTAGGCCAGAGACGGCTTTCAGGCCTGTCGATAGCTGCTGCCTGGCAACAGGGTTTTTCGAAGGCTCATGGGAAGGACAGCAGCAAGGGCGCTTGTGTCTTACTGGCGTTCCATAACCATCTTTCTTCATTTGGAAGCTACGCCTTCCCGTACACTTAATGACCTTCCTCTGCAGCTCACCACGGTGGATGAGGGAGGTAGGTGGAATGCTTCAAAGGAATACCTACATCTTGGACTGAGGTGTGATCCTGATACAAATAAAACACCCCCCCCCCCCCCCCAAAAATTATGCCTTTAAAATAATTAGCCAGCTCAAGCAGAACACAGCGACCACACTGGATTAGCCCAGTTGTCCATCTGGCCCAGCATCCTGTCTCTGATAGTGGCCAGTGCCTGATGCTTCAGAGAAACTGAGCAGAACAAGACAATTAATGCGTGATCCATTCTCAGTTTCTGGCCGTCAGAGGCTTAGGGACACCCAGAGGATGGACTGGCACCCCTAACTATCATGGCTAAAAGCCATTGATGGACCTATCCCTCCATACACTTTTATCTAAATCACTTTTGAACCCAATTATACTTTTGGTCATCACAATATCCCCTAGCAAGGAGTTCCACAGGTTGGACTTCCCTGGTCCAGCACCCTCGGGACCTGACCATTGGAGGGAGTTTGCTGGGCCAGGAGAACTCAATGCTGGCCTTTCTTCTGACCAACACCAGGCTCTGCTGGGGTCCATCAGCAGACCTGACCCGGCTCCCCTCCCAGCCACTGGGATCCCCTGCCCCATGGCCAGTCCCAGGCTGCCACTGGGTTCTGCCAGGCTCTGTGGCCAACCTGATGGCTGCTGGTCTCCATTGCCCCAAGTATGCTGGGCAAGCCCTGGGCCACTTGAGCTCCACCACCCTGGTGCATGGAGCTCCACAGTCAACCTGGGGCCATTAGGTTCCATGACCCCCAGGTTCCACGGACCTGACAGTCTAGACATAGCCTCCCAGTCTTTTTACTATCTTGTTATACGGATGTTCTTCTGAGCTCGTAATCGCTTTTGTTGCCCTCCTCTGTACCTTTTCCAATTCTAATGTATCTTTTTTGAGAGTGGGAAACCTGAACTGCAGGCTGTATTCAAGTGTGGGCTTGCTAGTGATGTACATAGTGAGGGTATGATATTTACTGACATTATTCAGCTCTTTCCTTGTAGTTCCTAGCATTCTATTTGTGTTTTTGACTGCCACTGTTCACTGAGCTGATGTGTTCAGAGGAGTCGCCTTGATGACTCCAAGATCTCTCTTGAGTGGTAACATAATTTAGACCCATCATTTTGTATGTGTCGTTAGGATTATACTTTACAACATTCATTACTTTGCCTTTATCAAGGCTGAATTTCATCTTCCATTTTGTTGCCTAGTAGTCTTCTGTGAGACCCCTTTGTAACTCTGTAGTCAGCTTTGGA